TAAAAAAAAAAATGAGGTCCAAAGTAGCAGCAGAAAGGATGCAAAAGGACAAGTGATTTTTAACGCTCAGTATCAACTCCAATCTTTTATTGGGACTGCTGGAATCTACATCAGATTGGAGTTGTTACACATCATAGTATGATTTGACTTTATCCTCCTGTGAACACAGAGAAGAAACTTTAAGCAAGAGAAATCTTGCTTAAAATTACCAACAGTTGGGGCACCTGGCTGGCTCAGTCGGTAAAGCGTGGGACTCTTGATTTCAGGGTTGTGAATTCAAGCCCCAGGCTGGGTCACAGAGATTACTGAGAAATAAAATCTTTAAAATTACCAATACTTGCTTACTGACCAAAAGCTGAGAACCATGGGGACTGACAGCCATGCTCCAAATGGGTCCTCCAAAGGCATCCACGGCATACTTGATGTTTAACGCCTGCAAATCATACTCAATAATTTCTCCATTGAGTCCAGCACTAAAGAGTCGCTGTCCTTTTGCCCAACACAGAGCTTCTGTAGCCCGAGACTCATGACCTGGAAAAAACTACAGAAACATCATAACTTGTCAACCCACCATCAATTAATCAGCTAGCAGCACTGAGTGGTCATAGGCAACAAGGTAGTAATTAAAACACTTCTCTAGAAATAACTAGTGTGGGGTCTTATTCTATCAGATCATATTAATTGAGATTTTCAGTTTTTAGATTCAAATTTTAGTTACCTATACAGTTGGTTTTGTTTCTCTAAGAATTTTTCTGCAAAACCTTTCCAGTAAAATAAAGTTTGTATACAACTCTATTTGACATATCCAATTAAAAAATATATGTAACTATCTTGACTGGGTGATGGTTTCGAAGGTTTATGTATGTCAAAGTTATCAATGTATATACTTTTTTTTTTTTTTAAGATTTTATTTATTTGAGAGAGACAGGGAGAGAGAGGACGAGCCAGGGTAAGGAGTAGAGGGAGAGGGAAAAGCGGACTCCTCTACTGAGCAGGGAGCCCAATGAGGGGCTCCACGCTGGAACTTCAGGATCGCAACCTCGGCCAAGGCAGATGCTTAACCAACTGAGCAACCCAGGCGCCCCAATGTATATACTTTAAATTCATGCTGTTTATAGTGTCAATTTTACCATTAAAAATTTTTTTTAAGATTTTATTTATTTAACAGAGAGAGAGAGAGAGATAGCGAGAAAGGGAACACAAGCAGGAGGAGTAGGAAAGGGAGAAGCAGGCTTCCCGCTGAGCAGGGAGCTCAATGTGGGATTCGATCCCAGCATCCTGGGATCATGACCTGAGCCAAAAGCAGACAGGCACTCAGGCACCCCTAAAATTTTTTTTAAATAACTGAGGGCACCTGGCTGACTCAGTCAGAAGAGCATGAGACTCTTGATTTCAAGGTCGTGAATTTAAGCCCCACATTGGGTGGATGTAGAGATTACTAAATTAAAAAAAAAAAAAAAGGAATAAACTTTTAAAATAAAAAATTTAAAAATAATAAACAATGTAGCTCAATCCAGTACTTCATTCAAGTCTCGGATTTCTAAGTGTTTTCTTAACACTTAAAAGAGTTTTCAGAGTTGGGGTGCCTGGGTGGCTCAGTGGGTTAAGCCTCTACCTTCGGCTCAGGTCATGGTCTCGGGGTCCTGGGATCAAGCCCCGCATCGGGCTCTCCGCTCGACCAGGGAGCCTGCTTCCCCCTCTCCTTCTGCCTGCCTCTCTGCCTACCTGTGATCTTTCTCTATCTGTCAAATCAGAGAGGGGGAAGCAGGCTCCCCGCCGAGCAGAGAGCCGGACATGGGGCTTGATCCCAGGACCCCAAGATCATGACCCGAGCTGAAGGCAGAGGCCTAACCCACTGAGCCACCCAGGTGCCTCTAAATAAACAAAATCTTTAAAAAAAAAGTTTTTATACATATGAAGACATTTTATTCTTAAATCTGCTCAGCACGAAAGGGACTGAATAGGTACAATTTTTCCTCTCTATTGTTAACAATAGTAGGGAAGGGACTATGAAAAAAGCAAAAGATTAGAATGAATTGATTACTATTGAAAAAAGAGTTAAAAAAAAATAAGAGACACTCAGTAAAGAATGACTGAAATACTCTTTAAACAAGTATTAACTCAGGAGTGGCTCTGTACTAGGCCCTTACTAAATGATGGGAATACAGTTATCAATATCAGTGACATAGTCTCAATTTGAAGTTTAGTGGGGAAGAAAAACATTAAACAAACATATGAACTATTATATAATTTTAATCATCATAATGACAAGAAATACCCAGAGTGCAACAAGCAAGTAGCATAGCACATTTTTCATAGTATAGAATCTGGCCTATTTGGGGTGATGACCAATTTTTTAACTCTTTTGGTTCTTCCAGGGTCAACTCCATTAAGTCATCCCTTTTCAGGATTCCTAAACCCACATCATCAGAGTAAGGCAATGCTCCACTAAGATTCTATGTCGGTGCTTAGCTTTACCATAACATTCACCTACTGTTTGGAAACTGTATACTCGTATTTCCCCCACCGGACATTGAGCTCCTTCAAGGTAGGGCCTCTGACACTTGTCATAATGCCTAATACTTGCCACTCACTCATTTAGAAACAACTGCAGAATGCCTAAATTCCAAGTACTAGGCTGCTGGGCACTGAATTCATCTATCTCTCCGTTCACAGCCATCCATTCAGTGCCTAGGATGCATAACACAATAAATGTGAAATGAATTATATTGTTGCACCCGAAATCAGTAATCAATGCCTTTGAAAAATATGCTGCTGTAACAGCCCTCTGCATACACCCAAACAGTATTTTCCTCTTTAATCCCACATATAGGCATTTAGATCTACATTCTCTCAGACAGATGAACTTAGAAATCCATCTTCCTACCATCAAGTCACCAGAAAGTTTGATACTAAGATGTTTTATGGTTTTTTCTGAATTGACAATGAAATGGGTACTGACAACACCAGCAGGAAATGCCACCTTACCAAAGTTGCAGTGGTGCAGAGACAGATATAAAGCAATGGTCCTAACAGCTTCCCCCCTCCACTTTTTTTTTTTTTTTTTAAGATTTTATTAATTTATTTGACACAGAGAGAAAGACAGCTAGCGAGAGGGAACACAAGCAGGGGCAGTGGGAGAGGGAGAAGCAAGCTTCCTGCTGAGCACGGAGCCTGATGTGGGGCTTGATCCCAGCACTGAGCCGAAAGCAGGCGGTTAACTGACTGAGCCACCCAGGCACCCCAGCAGCTTCCTTTTTTGTTGTGCCCAAAAGATCCAGCAAATCTGTTTCCAGATGACAGTGAGCCACCACAACCCCTAGATAGTATCTTTCTGACATTACACAGCTCGAAACTTTGAGCTCAGACAAGAGACTGCATATTAACTACACAAGTTACATAGTTCTAAACAACTCCAGAGAGAGTCACTTTCTTTTGATCTCTTTGAATACAAAAGACATATGAGATGTAGACTGAACTTAAGAAAATTAACTCAGCAACACCGACTCAGGCTTCCAAATGACTTACTTTCTCCTGAAAGTAGTTTGCTGACAAGTTATAAATTTCCACAGTGCCATCTGTTCGAGAAACAGCCAATCTGTTTGACTGGTTATTGTAAGCCACGCAGCGGATCCCTGATGGAATATAATTAAAGAAACGTACTCGATGGACCTTAAATTCACCCATTCCTGTGGGGGGGGGGGAAAGAGTCATTATTGTTAAATGTTAACAGCAGTACGTCACATGTATTGTTTCTTCTTAGTGTTAACAGCAGCATCTCACGTGTATTATTTATTATTATCACCGTGCTGGATGGAAGAGTCCAATTGTATCTCACTGAGGTTCACTTCTAAATAGCTAAACAATGATGTTTTCACATCCCACACAAGAATCTATGAAACCATCCCCAGAAGCACAGGATGCTTCAGCTAAAAATGAAAAGATCAACATATAGAGCATGTTCCAGACTCTTAATCCTGCCAATTACCTGAAGAAAGTACTCTGGGAAAGAGGGGTGACCTAAAACTGAAAATAACCTCGTTCTCTAATTGGGAGTGCACACTTAAAGGAAGGGAGGCACATCGTGCTGACCAGTTGTATTCGAGGCAGAAACTAAGATACTCCTTTCTCTTTTGTGTGTGAGGTTTCTTGGCGGGGGTGGGGTGTGAAGAGGAGGGTAAACACCATTAACACTCTCAAGAAGAAATATTGACAGCCTAAATAAGTCTCTCGATATCAGGGCCGCAGAACTCCATCAAAATCATCTGGAAAAATGTTTTGTTTTGTTTTTTTAAATGCAGGATTCTGGGTCCCACTCCACAGCTCCAGAGTTCCAATCTCTTGGTTGGGGGAGAATGGGGGTGGGGGAGGAGGACTAGGCATCTGCATTTTAGCAAACACTTCTCCCTAACTTTACAGCACGTTAAGTTTTTAAATTACAGACTCAAGCTAAAGTAGTGAAGTGAGGCTGACGGGGCAGGCAGAACCAAGAGCCCCTCAAGGAAAGGAAGCAACGGGACTTAGTCTGGCATCTGTCAACTATCCCCTCCCTGACACCGCACACACACACACGACGAAGATAAGGGCCGACTCTGGTTCGGCCCTCACTCTTCCTTCAAGGTTAGGAAGCCGTGGGCAGAGCAGACGCGTTTGGCCCGGCCCGGCCCGACTAAAAGGGCGTCTGAAGCGCGCGCTTCAACTCCGCCGCCCCTTCCCTCTCTGGGAATCTAAGGAGTAGCCTCCATCAGGCCTCCGCACAGGGGGAACTTCGAGCTCCACCGGCGTCGGCCTAGGGCAGGCCGCACCCCATCAAATTCCTTTATCTCCCAAAAGCTTCCCATACCCCTTCCCCAACTCACCTACCTACGGATGGGGACTCGCCTCTCTCAGCCGCGGCCCCACGTGCGCGCGCCCTCGCGTGCTCTGCCCCGGAAGTGCTTGCAGCGCAAGGCCGGAAGTGCGCAGGCAGTGCTCGCGGCGGCGGCGACGGCGGCGGGAGGTTCGGTTGTCGCCCGTTGGCCGCGCGGCGCCGCGCTCGGCGGCCGCCATTGCAGGTCAGGCCGCGGGCGGGGGGCGCGGGAGGCCGCGGGGAGCGAGGGCTGAGTCGGGGATGGGGATGAGGGTGCGAGGGAGTGGGAGCTAGGGAGCTGGGGCCGGGTGGGGCGCTCGGCTCGAGGAGAAGAATGGCGAGTCGAGGGGCGGGGAGCGGCGGGCGGGGGAGGGGCGGCCGGGAAGGGGGAGGGGAGGCGGAGAGCCGCGGAGAGGTGGGGGCTATTCCAGAGGGGCCCCCGGGGTGGGAGGGCCAGGAATTGTGGGGGAAGGGAGCGGTGTATAGACGGAAGGCGGAGGGAAGGAAGGGAGTGAGAGGGGCGGAGCGTGAGAAGGGCGGAAAGGGTGGCCGAGCGCGGGCGGAGGACCGAGAAGGGGGCGGCGCGGGCCGGAACCTCGAGGTACGTGCGGGAAGGGGCTCTTCCCCGGGTGGGGAGGGAGTCCAGAACGTGAGGTGTGCGGGAATGTGGTAGAACTGGAACCCAGAAAATAGCGGGAATATCAGAGAGGGGACTTAGAGGGGGGGGCCTGGGGGTGTAGGAATGTGAGGTTTGTTCGAGGGGACATTTTAAGTCGCGGGGGTAAGCTGCTGGGAGAGATAATTGGGAAGGTGGTTAGGAGGAAGAGTGATCGAGGTTCTTTTGTGGGCGGAGTGAGAGACTAACGAGTGGGGTCGGTTCGGGTTCTGGAGGCGCTAAGTACTTGAGATTGAGGAGGGAACGGAACGATTTGGAGAGTGAGGGTGTAGAAGAACGTTTAAAGAGTAATCTTTGGGAGGAGGGTGGACGGTTTGAGGGGTGTGGAGGAATGCAGTTTAAAGAATAGTTTCCTTGGGAGGTAGGAGAAAGGGTTAAATAGATTGGTAGGAGGTCCCAGCGAAAGTCTGGGGTGAATTGGAGGGGGTTGGGGAAGAGAGGGGAAGCGGATTGAGAAGTCCCAGAAAGTGGGCGGGACTAGACATAGGAAGTGTTTGTAGCTCCAAATGAAGGGATGGGAGGGGGCCGGGGGAGAGGGTGGAGAAGATGGGGGTCGGTGGGAGGAGAATCCAGGATACTGTGAGACCTCAAGCCGGGCTAGGAAGGAGGAGCTTTGGGGAAGATAGGGGGTCATCGCAGTAAGAGAAGGAAGGGTTGAGATGGGGCTGCAGAGTAGCAGAAGATGGAGAAAACTGGAGTAACTCAGATCGACTGAAGCCATCTTTTCCACCCATTGTCTGCAAATACCAGTAATTGATTCCCCGCATCATGGGAATCCTAAAATGTGATGGGAAAGTATCACGTGTATGCATAGTATCCACACATGTTTTTGAACACACTCTTCACTAATGAAAAGTTTGGAAGCATTCATTTCCACCTACCCTCCATAGCCCCTTTTTGGAGGGGAGCAAGCTTCTCATTTGGAACCAGAATTTTAGTACTTAATGACATATGCCTGTCAGGAGACAAGATTTTCCCTTTGAAACTTAGACCATCCCCTTGAGTAACAAACCACAATAACACTGCTAATAAAAATAATCTGATTCATTTGTATATGAAAATTTCCTGAATTGTTCATTTGATGGAAAGGCACATAGAAATATAGTCGTCTTTAGAGAAAAGAGAAGAAAACTTTCAGAACTTGAAGCAGTTTGGTGAAACTTGACTGTCATGTTTGAATTGTTCTCCCATCATGTAAACCTGGTTTTACTCTGATAACCTGCTGCTTTTGTAGGAAGGTTTAATGCACTATAAACATTAAAGTAATTATTCAGTATAGAATTTAGATAACTCTTGAACATATACTAAGAAAATGCCATGTTCCCCTCCAGTAATAAGTAGTTTGATCCTAAAGTCTTACCATGTTTTAGGCACTACACTGAGGACTTTCCATTCATAACCTCATTAAGTTTCCACAACAACCCTTTGGGATAGTTTCTTTCTTATGCCCAGTTTATTGGTGGGGAAAGTGAAACTTAAAAGGTTAGATTATTAATCCCATGCCACACATAGGCTAAGTAACAGAATCCAGGTCTGACAAGTTGAGCTCTCACTGTATACCTAAACAACCGACCCTGGGACTGAAAAACAGCTCAGTAAATGCTAAGTGTGGGTCTAGCAATGTGAAAACTTTTTGTCATGTGTTTAATTTTTTTAAATAAAAAATGAATTTTTATGTTAAGAATTGTAAAGTTAACCCCTTTATTTGCTATCTTAAGAAAATACAAGATGAAAGGTCATAATGAAAATTTATAAGCTACTAAGCTCTAGTAAAATTTATTTTTAATCACCATTGAGTCTACTTGTTTGGGTAAAAGCTGTATATGTTCTATTTAATTGGATCCATACTGTACTTCTGCCACATTATATTTTGGGTGCAGTTACCATTATGAGGATCATTGCTCATTAATTCTGTTGTAAGACGTTACTACTCTTTTAACAGTTCAACATTTAACAATGCAGAAAGCAAATTCTAAGAGACTGAATTTTGTTGAAGATTAAAATGAATCAGTGACAAAGAATGTTCTCTGTTCTTTTGGTTTATTTTGCCTTATACTTGGTTTTGAATCTTGAAGATGACGTTGAGTAGATCCCTAGAGATTTCAAAGATCTAAATCTCATCAATTGAATATGATAAAAAGTCTTGTTTTTGACTGCCTACCCCACAGATGCAATAGGTACTTTGGCTGCTGGTTGTATAGGTTACTTACATGCCATTTTGTAGAAATGAGAAAGGCTGATCTTTGTAATCAGAAGTTATACAGAAATGTGTTTGAGGGGCTGTGGGAGAGGACTGCTGGAGATGCCATATTATGGAGGGGTTAAGGTTCCCATCCCACTTCCTAGGTATGTGACCAGTTACCTAACCTTTAGTGCATGTTTCCTCATCTGTAAAATGGGAGTAAGAGTGCGTACATCATTAAAGTTGTTCTCAACGATGAAAGGAGAAAATCAGGTTAAGTGTCCACAGAAGTTTAGCTGTGGTAGAAATGAAACTTTTTGTATTATAATGCTCTGCCTGGGTTTTTCATCTCAAATTGTGTTTGTACTCTGATTTTTTTCAGGATTTTTTTCAGGTTTTTCATAATAACTATAATAGTAACTAAATTCAAAACAGAGGTAGAAGTCAAAGGACAGTTAAATAAGGTATGTCCCAGATTGATACAGTTCCCACTTCAGCCTTTTGAATTTTGGGTAGGTTCCATTGTGACTCTGGTTTGGTTTTGAAATGCTGATTCTTTTGCTGTGCTATAGTTTGTTTGGGGTCTTAAAGTTACTTGGACCACTGTCCTGAGAAGCATTAGTGTGTTGACTTTATGCAGGACCTCCATGTCTTAAGACAGGATGATCTGGAGCAAGCTGTTTCTACAAATTTTGAAGCCCCAGAAAAGACTTTTTTTTAAACAGGAAAATATTGAGTGTTAATTAGGATATAGAAAGTACTTTAGGAAAAGTTTGCTTTTGACTAAGTTAAGACTATAAAACTGTATTGTTTATTTGGTGATGTGAAGGCCCAGAAAAATTAAGCAGGAAAAAATGTCCTCCTTTTTTTGACAGATTGGGGTGGAAGGAGTTGAAATCATTTCAGGAGAAAGAAGTTTGGGGGTTTTTCCCCCACTTCCATTGCTCCAGGTCTACATTAGTTATGGCTGGTGAGACTCCACTCTGAAGTACAGTGAATTAAATGTCTTTCAAAAAGTGACATTGCTAAAATTTTTCCTTGGCTGTACAGTTACACATACTGTCAGCCTAGAGTTAGTGTTCTTTAACTGTAGAGAAGTTGGTCATCACCAAATCTGGGATTAAACTCCAGACTCTTGAGAGAGGTGCTAAGCAAACTCTTCCATTGACTCCTTTTAGTTTCATGGTTTGATAGACTATTTTTCAGGCTGTGTCTTCACATGTTTTTAATAAATCTGCAATTTTTGTACAAGCAATATCTTAGAACAAACATGTAGAAATTGTTCTACTTGTTTTCATTGTTGGACTTAGTTGAGACTGAAGACTTAGGATTCTTTTTTGTTTTATAGGAACTATAACGTTACATTTATTATTATTAATAGGATTTGATTTGTATTATGCGCTACTCCACCACTTCGTTTTCCTACTGACAAGAGTATAGGGACAGATTGGGCTGCATGTTACCAGATTCTTTTTAGTCAACTCCACATTAAGTGAAATACACATTCCCTGTCACCGCCATCAAGTGTATTCTCAATGAAGTACCCAGGTATACCTACCTATTCTGGCCCTGAGAACAGTTGCCTAGAGTAGTTATCCCAAGGAGCAAGAAAAGGAATAATAAAATTCAGGTGATAGCCTATTTTAAGGCATTAAAATAGAATTTTGAAGATTTGTTTGAGAGAGCATGCATGCATGAGTGGGAGGGGCAGAGAGGAAGAGAGAATTTTTTTTTTCGGAAGAGAGACTCAAGTAGATTCTGTGCTGAACATGGGGCTCAGTCTCACAATCCTGAGATCATGACCTGAGCTAGACATTTAACTGCCCCACCCAGGCACCCCTAAAGTGGAATTTTAAGATTTGCTAAAAGAATGCCTTCTGCTCTTTTTTACTAACTCAGTAAATACACTCCCATGTACATAAATGTAGCCAGGCCAGTCTACAAGTTCCTGTGAGCTAGACCCTTACACGTGGGTCTAAACTTCATTTGTGTTCACATCTGCAGCTTCCCAGTGGGACTAGCGTAGGTTTGACCACTCTGACTAGGGACAGCAGCAGAATGGTGAATGTGTAGGCCCCAGAATTTGTATTTTCAGGAGCATTCCTAGATATTTGCCAGTATCGAGAGATCTTCTGAGGCAGGGCCTCCTATATAAGTGGGTAAAGCGCTTCTGATCCAGCTATCAGACATCTGTTTTCCTTTGCCCCCTTGGGCCACTGTTGTGAATTCCTGTTCCAACAGGAAGCTGTCCAGGAAATGTGGAATGCACTGAAAATATCTCTGCATCGCCCTTAAACAGTCTATAGGTACTCCTCTCAGACGTGTTTCCAAAGGCCTTAGAGATTGATTTCCTTCCCTGTCATGGTCTTCATAGAACTTGTTTATCTGTGTGAACACTTAATTGCTTCTCAGAAACTACCTATGTATTACTATAACTATATCCATCAAGAAACATTTAGTGCATTATCAGTCATCAGGAGCTTAGTTATAAGAACCCTTTAGTCTGTATGCATTTGTTAACCTTTAGAAACTTTCCAACTTCAGTTTCTAGTTACTGAGGTTTTTTTGATTCATGGCTAAAACATACCTACCATTCTCTAAATTATAGTCAAAATTATAGTGTGGAAATACCAATTTGCTTTTTCCATTCTCTAAAAAAAAAAAATAGCTGCTGTCTTTAAACCATTTTGCATATACGTGGTCTTCACAGTAGTTTGATGAGTCAGATAATCTAGGTGTTAGCCCCATGGTCATTAAGTGACTTGCGTATGATGACACAATGAAAAGGTCTACACGTACAGGCTGGAACCTGACTTTAAGTCTTCTGATTTTAAATTGTAATCCTTTTTTCAAGAAACCTTAGAAGAATTTTAAAAGTACTTTTGGTTCAGTTGATGGTATTGTAGGGACTCCTTATCTCAAGACCTTTGCCCTTGAGCCCCCATATTTATTCTCAAAACGTCTGACTTACAGATGCCTTCTTGATCCACCATTGCGCTTCCAACCAGCTCTCCTGTCTGCAGTGCCTGCCTGATGCTTTGATGTACTTCTCACTAGTGCTTGGTTTTCTTTTGGGAGCGTAGGTTTTCTTTTGGGAACGTATTGATTATGAGTATAGATAAAGACAGGTGGCCTAGGTTCTTAGACCTGTACAGCATCTGATTCACAATAAAAATTCTGCAGGTTTTAGCTACTGTTTATATTTGAATTTGAAGACCGGTGAATTGACTGACCTTGTGTTCTCAAGGGATGTTTGGTGCTCAAGAATAGAGAAGTTCTGCTGTCCTGTAAGCCAATATACTTTTCCCTAGAAATCCAAAATGAAGGTTAACATTATCAGTCAAGAAACCTGTTTAACTTTTTAATCCAGTGTTTGCTAAGCTTGTGCACAATTACACCTATTAACATACAGTGCTACAATTGGCAGACATTAGACTAATAACTTTCCACTGAGTTCCATTGATTTATTGGAAACACTTACACAGAACGTGTAGTTTAGATCCCCCATCCCTCAGGCCCCTGTGAATCCACCGTTCCTAGAAAGACAAGTGAAGCCAGTTGTCTCGGGCAAAAAATAATCATTTTAACCATTCGTTTAGAGTACCACAAACTTGCCACCAGGTGGTACTGTTGCATAAAATGAAAGTTGATTGAGTGTCCGGGTATACCTCAGTGAAAGATAGTCAAGGCATATAATGAGAGTCATGTTAGATAGCTGCTTACCATTCACCAAAGTTGCTTGATGGACTTTTTTGCTAATTGGCTTTTGTTAAAGGAGGTCCCTTGAACCTTGAAAGACAACTAGAGTGTTAGACATGAAATTCGTATTTTTATAATACCAAAGGGAAAAGTAAAATCTAAATGAATTTGGTTTTTTGTTTTGTTTTTAAAGATTTTATTTATTTGACAGAGATCACAAGTAGGCAGAGAGGCAGGCAGAGAGAGGGAGAAGCAGGCTTCCCGCTAAGCAGAGAGCCTGATGCGGGTCTCGATCCCAGGACCCTGAGATCATGACCTGAGCCGAAGGCAGAGGCTTAAAACCCACTGAGCCACCCAGGTGCCCCAAATTCTTTAGTGTGTTTTTGTTTTTTTTTTAACATGTAGAATAGAAAATAGAACATTCTTGAGAAAGGCAGATTAGCATAGTGGTCAGCAGTGTGGGCTATAGTGTTACGTTTTATGTTCAAGTTCTGGCTCGTTGACTAATATGTACATGACCTTACTTTCCATAGCATTATTGACCCGTGGTGATCTTAAGCAATGTTGTATCAGTTGTATCAGTGTCAAAAAAACATGTACTACTTAAAACATTTTTAGGGAAATGAAATAAAATCTGTCTAAAGCACTTAGAAAACTGCTTCACACACAGTACATGATAAATATTAGCTATCATTATTATTATCCTAAATTTTTTTTTCCTCTACAGCTTACTTTCAGTTGCTTTTTAAAGACGGAAAGCTCATGGTGCAAATTGTTATTTCCAGGTGAGTACATTTTGAGACTTTTTTGTTTAGCTCGAATGATTAGGGTTGTGTAGGTTTGACATTTTCCTGGAAGAATCAGGGTCCTCAGGTGCATTGCACACATCCTTGCATTTCATCTGTAGTTCAGTGCCTAGCACTGCCTAATTTCCCAAGAACTTGTGCTCAGCAAGGAGTTCCTTTGGGCATTGAATGGTGGTGTAGGACACTATTCATCCTTCACCCCTCAAAAATATTGTAACCGCCAGCCCTTTGCTTGCAGTGCTGGGGCTGGAGGCCTGGCAGAATGGGTGCTGATGGAGCTACAGGGGGAGATCGAGGCTCGCTACAGCACTGGATTAGCTGGAAACCTCCTGGGAGACCTACATTACACCACTGAGGTGAGGGGACTTTTCTTTCCCTGCCTAATGCCTCAGGAAAGCAAGCTACACCAAGGTGGTGCTCCCAGGACCCAGAGTGAGGACTGCCCTCAGGTTTGTTATTCGAGGTCTAGCTAATCTAAGCTCTCTGCTTCTCCCCCCACCAACCCCTGCAATAGCAGGGAAACTTAGCTTTGGGGAATCTGGAAAAATCACAGTTCTAAAAAGCGGAAACTCTCTTACCTGGGGCTAGAAAGAGTAAAAAGGGTAGGAGGGTGGTTGATATGGCTCTTAAACAGTAGAGTCATGCCAGGGAGTGGAGGTGCCAGTATTGCTCGCCAAGAGCTTCTCTAGAAGGCACCTGAGTGTTATGACCTTGCCCTGAACCTCAGGCATTTCATTCTTGTTCTGCCAAAGGGAATCCCTGTGCTGATCGTGGGGCATCATATCCTGTATGGAAAAATCATCCATCTGGAGAAACCTTTTGCTGTCCTTGTCAAACACACTCCTGGGGAGCAGGACTCTGATGAGCTTGGCTGCAAGACTGGCACCCGGTACCTGGTGACAGCACTCATCAAAAACAAGATCCTTTTCAAAACTCGCCCCAAACCCATTATCACCAACGTCCCCAAGAAAGTATGAAAGAACCCCGGATTTTCCCTAGAGAGCGGCCAACTCCTTGGACTCGTGCTCAGTTGCCACCTCGAGGACGGCTCGACGGTTCCCTGGGACCACAGGGTGGTCCTGTTTTGAACACAGGCCACCCGCTAGGCATGAATTCTGATCCCTTCCTTATGGCATCCAGTTCTCTTGGTGGAAATCTGGCCCCATTTCCAAGGAACCCATCGCCTTTTCCAACCTCATCAGGCTCATTGGCTTCAAATCCAGCACCTTTCCCTGCTGGTGCTCGTGACCCAAGCATGGCTTCTTTTCCAAGAGGGATGAATCCCGCTGGTGCAGGTGCAGTTTCTTTCCCAAGGCCTGGTGGCCTCTTGGGCCCAGGCCCAGGGCCATCCCTAAACCCTAGGGCAGGGGCTCTTCCAGGTCCAGGGCCTCTGTCTAACCCAAGGTTAGGGGGTCTTCCAGGGCCAGGTCCTATGTCTAATCCAAGGTCCGGTGGTCTCCTGGGAACAGGTCCTGACCCCAGAAGTGGCGGCCCTGTGGGCCCTGGGTCTGGGCCCAACCTGAGAGCAGGTGTCCTGTTGACTTCTGGGAATGGTCCTCCTAATCCTAGGCCCGTTGGCCTGGGTCCAGGACCAAGTCCTAATCTGAGGTCAGGGTTTGTTAGTACAAACCCTGCCCCGAGGTCGGGTATGTTTCCAGGCCCAGGTCTTGGGCCCAGCCCAAGGGCTGGTGGCCTGGGCCCAGGCCTTGGACCCAACCCAAGGGCAGGTGGCCTGGGCCCAGGCCCTAATATGGATACCAGAGCAGGTGGCCTCCTGGGCACAGGATCTGGTCTTAACTTAAGAATGGCTGGACCTCAAGGCCTAGATCTTGCCCCCATTCTAAGAGCAGCAGGTCTTTTAGGAGCAAATTCAGCTGCTTTCTCACAGGCTTCTGGAAACATGGGCACAAGCCCATCCTCTATGGCAAGAGTACCTGGACCCATAGGCCCAAACTCGGGTCCTGTCTCTCGGGGAATTGGCCTTCCAGGGCCAAACCCGTCTCCCATGTCCAGAGCTCCTGGCCCCCTAGGTCCTAATTCAGCTCATTTTTCAAGGCCAGCTGGCCCCATGGGGGTAAATGCTAATCCCTTTCCAAGAGGGACAGGTTCAGGGGGGCTGAATCCAGTTTCCTTCTCTCAGTCCTCTGGCACATTGGCTTCAAATCCATCTACCTTCCAGAGGTCTGCTGGCCTCCAGGGCTCAAGCCCAGCAATTTTCCCAAGAACCTCTGGGCCACTAGGCCCCAACCCAGCTAACTTCCCAAGGGCCAGTGGCTTACAGGGTCCAAGTCCGGCTGCCTTCCCAAGGTCTACTGGCCCATTAGGACCTGGTCAGGTTAATTTCCCCAGGTCAGCTCCTGGGCCGCTGGGCTCTTCTCCAGCAGGCCCTGTGGGTATCAACCCAGGTCCTTTTGCAAGGCCAACTGGGACCCTGGGTCTAAACCCATCTTCCTTTCCAAGGATGAATGGCCCTGTGAGCAAGACTTTGGTCCCATTTCCTAGAGTGGGGAGCCTCCCTGGCACAAACCCAGCTGCTTTCCCCAGACCAGGGGGTCCAATGGCTGCAATGTACCCAAATGGAATGTTACCCCCTTAAACACTGTTTTCTCTCCAGGACCACTTTGGTTTTCAAGCACCGTGGTTCTGGGCAGGGGCTGTGTTACAAGTAAAAGGGTAGATGTGGAGCTATCATCTGAAGTACATAGCTGGGCTCAAGTTCAGATGAGCCATCTTTTTCCTCTGCTTTGACTGAAGGTGAAATGTTCTGTGTGGGAGATGGACTACTACAGGTGGGACTGATCCTGCCCTTTAGAGAAAGGATCTCCAGCCCTCCAGAAGCCTGCTGTGCATTTGTCCCACAGCTTTCTGCCCCTTGTTTCTTAACTAGTTTCTTGAATTGTTCACGTGGACTTTTCCTCAGGGATACATTGGCCTGCAGGTCCCAGTTCATATGTAGTCCTCTGCTCACCACTGGAGAATCAGCTCACTGCTCTCTAGAAATGTTGCATTGGTGAACGGACCATGCTTCAGCAGCTCTGACCTGGGCAGCTTGGACCTGGTCATCCTCTACTGCCATACCTTTCCCTGGGGGCTTGAACACAGAACAGGGAGGTGGGCAACCACGTCAAAGACCCACCAAATACAATGTCTGCTTGATTGACTGGGCCTGCAACTTCCTTCTCCTGGGACTTAGAGGAGGCCAGAATCAAGGCTCCACCGCTCATCTAACTCCTCTCCACTAGTACTCTGATCAAAGAACCTCAAAATTTAAACTGACGTGGATGGGAATTGGGGTGGGGGGTGGGGGGAGAAAGGGGAGAAATCACTGTGCTTCGTTCAGCCTGACGTGAAAGGATGGTTGGTGTTTTTCCTGCTTGTATCTTTTCTTACCATTTCTTTAATAAATGGGATGACAGGGCTGCCGATGTCACTCCATTTCGTTACCTGTTCCCGCAGGAAAGAATATTTTCTGCTTTTCATTCTTTCAGCTTGGCCACAGTTCTGTGTTATCTGCCAGGTAAAATGCTGTCACTCAAGGAGGAAGCAAACGCCAACTTTTAACCTTAGCTAGGATTAATCTGCCAGTGATTTCACCAGAGACCTTGCCCATTCTCAACAATTAAAAGTTAAGCCACGGGAGGTGCAGTTACCAACAAGGTGAGTCTGCTATATACCCCAGGTCCAGATGCAGCTGGGACTACTTACCCTGTTTGAGTTCCACTGCCAACTATCTTGACAGAACTATTTCTATCCCAAGGACCTCTTCTGAAACTGGAATAAAACCAGTTTAAGTACAAGGAGAAAGTTCAGAGATAACCAACATTATGTGAGAATCTTTATTTTGACAAATAAGTGCAGTATAAAATATTAGACCTGAAAAGTAAAAAAAAAAAAAAAAAAAAAGTAAAAATAAATATGTTTACAAATTATTGTAGAAAGAATACAAAAGGGTTAAAATTCTCAATGAGGAAAAACCAAAATGTGTCCAGTTGTATAAAGGCTCTTCCCTTGCAAGAAATGGGGATAAAGCTGAAGACCCAGTTTGGTTTCGCTGCTGAAAAAGGTACAAAATAACTTAGAAAAACCAGTCGAGGTCAAACGTTGTGAGCCCACTACTTGTACCTGCCTACTCTTGATTTGAGCAAAGTTGATAACCACAGTGCAAGGCAGAGCTGACGGTAGGACAACGAGGAGTTTTCCATCCAGGAGTCTATCCTACCTTCACCTTCAAGTAAAAGCTGAAGAAAAACAAGCCCTTAGTGAAGTCTGAGCTCTGCAGTTGGCTGACCGGATTTCCTCCATTGTAGTGCTCAAAATAGTTTACTTGGCCAGCAAAAACACGGAAGAGCCTGAACAACTGCCTTTAGTAAATGCCTGCTGCCTCTTCTAGCCTTAATGGGTCAGGCCCAACACCACCCAGCAGTCTTACCAGAAGCTCGAGGTGTATGTGATGCAACGGTGTTGGCTGCACCTAGAAAACCCTTGTGTTCATGGGAGATGAAAGAAAGCACCAGGGTTTGCCAATCCGTGGCTCAGAGCACACTTTGTTCCTTTGCAGGAAGCACCTGGGCACACTAGAGGCTTGCCCCCTCAAGTCCTTGTCTACCTTAGTGCTGGTTCTGAGGGCTTAGCAGGCCCTGCTGAGAATGGACATTTGGAGAGGGCGAGCAGGCACGCATGCAAGCAAGTATCCACTAAGTCAAAGGCTTAGTCGCGATCCCAGGTTTCAAACCCAAGAGCTGAGAATAGTCTAGATTGCAAAGCTCTAGAAAATGCCTTCCCTCTTGCCCCCCAAAAAGCAGAAGAGAAAGCCTCAAGGGGCATGAGAGAGAAAGGAAGAACCTTAGGATTTGGGAACCAATTCCATCTCTGAGTTTGGTTTCTGGGAAAAAGCAAGCAAGTGCAATAATGACTTGGCTCTAAGAATTCCCTGGAGAAGCCACTGAGGATAATGCACAGTCTCAAAGATGACCAGCTTGGATTTGAGGCTTCACTTAGGGAATACTGAAAAGCTTTCCCTGGAGATGATTGTCAAGAACTGTAGCCTGAAAGTCATGCACGCTTAGCCAGCTGCTGAGGAATCTGTCCAAGCAATTCCAAGATTGTAGTTAATTTGGTCAAAGGCTCCTAATCCGTTTTTCCCCCACCTGCTGAGGGTAGGGGTGCCTGTGGCAGAGGGGCCTGTGAGACCCAGGCTCTGCCTCAGTTGCCACCTTGAAAAACTTAACCAATGAGAAAGATGGAAGAGGTGACTGCATCACCTCGAAGAAAGCAAAGGGAGGAGACTCTCTTAGACTCATTGGAGTTTGAGAGAGGAATTCAGAAGTATACAGGATGAAATTCCTGAGCCCTCATTTCCTCTCCCCAGCAGAGATCAGACAAGCTCATCTAGATGTCAGGCAGTTTCCAGGTGAGACACACTCGGCCCAAGACCTCCTTACAGGCCCTGGCCTTTAGCACCACCACCAATCTTTGTTCCTCCTGGCTGACTTTAGTTTCTAACACAGATACATATACACACTCAAAAGCAATTCAGTGCCAACTCCCTGCTAGTGTAGCTCATCCTTGGGATGTGGAGATGTGGAATGGAGTATGTCCCATAATAAAGCACCATTCCTGGACCCTGTTTTCTGATGCCCAAAGATCAGGCTTCTGGGCCTTGTATCTTAGGCACAATCTTATTGCATTGATAGCTAGATTTGGGGATGGGGGTGGGGACACATTACTAGCTGGTCCAGATCTCAGGAGTTCTCCCACCACCTCTAGTTGTGTTCAGATTGTGTAGGAGAACCCCTTGCCACAGGCTGTCACTTACCTATCAGAAGTTGCCACTGATTGGAACTAAATGGTTTAGCACACTTCTGGGTTCCCTTTGGATCCTGGGGAAGCCGGTGGAATCTTTCCTAGAGGCCACCACGCATGCAGAGGCAAGCAGATGGATGGTGTGAAAACAAGTCTGTGCCCCCTGAGCTGGAATGGTGGTGTCTCCTGTAAGCAGAACTGCCCCAGACCATATAGTACAGTCACCGTTCTTTGCACTGCAGACTTGTCCTTTGGACCATTAATACACTAAAACAGCACACCCTCCTCCCTCCCACCCCATCTTTTCTCTTCCATTCCCCTTCCCTCCCTTACCCATTGCACTTTTCCCACTCTGCTTGGGGGGCTGTGTCACACCTCAGCAAAAGCTAAGCTATACTGCTCTGGCTTCTTCCCACATCGCCGGGCAATTATGGCCAGATACAACATGAGGAGGGCCACCCAGTAGCAGCCGTACAGGATGGCCCCAGAAACCAGGAAGGCTAGCTCTGTCTCACTGAATAGATCCTGGCAATAAGCTGTATAGGCCAGCCCCCCTAGAAGGACTGCCACCCAGATGGACACGGGGATGAGGCCAATGAAGTTCACCACGATGGTTTTTCGGCCAGAAGTGCCCCAGCCAGACTTGTTGATGGTAGCAATGGCAAAGATCTTGGCTGGCAGGAGGCTGGACATATAGAGAAGGGAATAGAGGGACATGAAGATCATTTCTGCGTTGCCCCGAAGGAAGCAGGCATAGGTAGCCTTGATAATGCCCACCAGCTGCACTGTCAGCAGGAAGAGGAGAATATTCCAGATGCGGCCTCGGTAGAAAAGCTGTATTACTGTGGCAATGAGGAAGAAGGGGAAGAAACCTGTGACCACTGATTCGTAGGTCATCCAGAGGTGGTGCTTATGGAACCACAGAGAGTTGTAGAGCCACTCCCGGAAGTAGGACTTGCTCCAGCGCGTCTGCTGGTTGAGCCACCGGAGGTACTTGGTGGGCGTCTCTGTGAGGCACTTGGAGCGCGCTGTATACTTAGTCCGGTAGCCGAGGCTCAGGACCCGGTTGGTGAGGTGGCGGTCATCTCCAAAGCTGCACTTGCTGCCTAGGAACTTCTGATGGTACCAGTCCTCCAAGAACTGCTGGAGGAGGCTATTGCGGTACATGCCCAGAGGCCCACTAATGCACTGCACACAGCCAAAGTAGGACTGGCAGGCCCGCTCCACATTGAAGGCCATCCAGTACCGCACACTGCTCAGGAAGGAGATCCACGAGTCATACTTGTTGAGGATCTGCAAGGGAACCAGAGATGCTGGGCCTCCTCACCTGGGGACTTGAGCCCCGGGAGAGAGACACCTGAGGCCATGAGGCCTCCTTTCCCCTGAGTCCCGCAGCCCACTGCTCAGTACCTGGCCATCAGTCCTAATCCAGCCAGAGCTGGGACACCTGAGGCTCGGAGGAGCCAGCCCTACCCACTCACTCTCCCCATCCCCTCATTGCCCTCTGCACTGACTGTCCCAGTGACACTGCTCTAACCTTCAGAGCCACCTGCAGTCTCAGGAAACAGCTTGTGGTGGTGGCAGAGAGAAGGGCTTGAGAAGGGTGCATAGCACCCCCCAGGCATCTGTTCTACAGCCAACTGTCTACAGTTGGAAAGCTTCTCAGGAAGACCTGATCTGTTACCAGCAGTACCCTTGGGAAGATCTGGCCCCTTAATCTCGCCATACTGCCTTCTCACCATTCAGCGCAACCCTTCCATAAGAACAAGGCTTTCTCAAGGGTCTGACTTGGGAGGTGCTCATTGCACTACAGTCAACAAGCACCCTCTGTGATCAGTAGCCGCAGAACACCAAGCCCCTCCCAGCAGCATGGGCTCTCTACTACATACCTGTTCAGTGATTTTGAAAAAGACCAGAAAAGAGATTGGGTACCTAGTGTGCCTTTTGATACTAGTGAGAGCTATCAAAGAAGAGGGCCCCCCCACACACACACGCACTGCCTTGACACACCACAAACTCATGCACCTCCAAAATAATAGTCAAGATGCTCACTTCCCAGGCATATCCATTGGATTAGGAAGCAGAAAAGAGTCTGGACCCCACCCCCAGAAATCCCTTGTTACTGCTTACTTGGACATCTCCTCCAACTCCCCCTACTTGGGGGTCCTCCTCCAGGACTCGAAGCATCTCGATGGTGCAGGCCGGATCCAGCACGGTGTCAGAGTCACACACCTGTGGAGGGAGTGTGTGGTCAGCCCATTTTGACATCCAGCCTGTGTCCACGGCATGCTGCTCACCTCTTCAGGGCCATAACCACCCTTCCTGGATTCACTGCCACCACTAGCAAAGAGATCTATGCTAAATAGGTCAGATGAATAACAAAAAGTAAGGAAAAGGAGAGTTTAGATACCACATTGACAGCCAACTAGGCTGACAAAAGAAACCCTGGAGACTCGGTGTCAGGGAAACATGCTTAGCACTGGGCCAATTTTTAGCCTCTATAGGGCCAGGCTCCACAAAAATGGTCTCAGAACATTTCCCTAGAGGAAAAGGAGGTACACACTGAAATCATATGTTAGGTACGGTGGCTAGACCCAGGTCAGCAGACACTCCAGTTGAGGCCAAGAAATGGCTCTTGCCATGAGGCTGCTGCCCAAAGTGCTCTCCTAGATTAATATGGTCTTCCCAGTTTCAGCCTCTGGTCTCCTGGGCAACCCGCCCAGCACACAAGTGGAGGATGTATCCACCTGGCCCTAGGTACCCTGCTAATACCGCTGCAAGTTCCTCTGTGTGCTTTTGGCCAAGTGTCTAAGATCAGGGCATGGTATGTCCAAGGGCTGCTCTCACCCGGTTTCTCAGGAGCCTGAGTCTGGCACCTTAAAGCACTTGTCCACCCTGACATGACACCTGGATTTACTCTGAATGAGCATGGAGGCTGGCAACAGCTGCCTCCAACCAGAGCCTAGAACACATCCTGCCCACTTGCCCACCTTCCCTCAGGAGGCTTATGGTCTGATTCTAACAGGTAGCTCCATTATTAGTTGAACCCGAGCTATGAGCACTTATCCTTTTGGCGGACTCCTTATTTCCTGGAATATTACTGAGTTGACAAGGCCCAGATAATCACTGGCAGAACAACAGAGCAAACAGTATCCACAGATGAGCCTAAACCTTGCTTTGCAAAAGCCTAAAATCCTTTTAGTAAAGTTGCTAATGCCTGCGGGGAGGGGGCTGCCTCCTTCCTTGTTGGGTTTTCTCTTGCCAGGCTGGAAGACATGGTCCTGGCCAGAGACAAGCAGCAAAATGTTGAAAGGGCTCCAGGTGAAGCCATCACACCTGTTCCCTCCTACCTCCCCACCAGCACACCTTGGGAGAAGGTGCCTTGAGAGCCTCAGGCCAGACTCCCGGAGCCTCTTCAGCCAACAGGCCAGGCTTTTCAGTGCTTCTGGTCTCAGGGCTACTTCCTGCCCCGTCCCTAACCCATTCTTCACGCTGCTCAGCTTCCTTCACTCCAGGTGGGTCTTTCTAACAGATCAGGGTAGGGAAGTTAGAGCTCTTGTCCACCTGGGTTTCCCTACTCGCCGAAGCAGGGCTATCTCCTGGCACACCCACAGCAGGGCTATTGGGGGACAGGCTGAAATCCACCAAACAGGGCTGAACCCCAGGCTGCCCCAGGCAGTGAGCCCAGAGCCATAAAGAAAAAGGCTGGCTCAGGTGTGTGAGCCTATTTATTGATCCACCAGAATGAATCCACAGGAAATGATCCGTAAAGGAAGATGTGTGGCAGGTTTAGGGAATTCTGTGCTACAAGGGAGTAGACAGAGTCCCTGTGACTTGAGCATGTGCCAGGGTTCAAGGGCTTTTCCTGTGCCTGCTGAGTCTCCAGGAAAGCTTCAGAGGCCCTGTGATCCTAGATGAACTGCAGAATCAAATGCCTCAACATCCCTCCCTATAAGGCCCTAGAAAGACAGAAAAAGGCCAATGTACCAATTCATCTGAGGATGCAACTTTCAAAAAAGCCCGAACCAAAACACCGGTGGCAAGCTAATTTTAGGTGGGTACAATGGAGAACATTCAATGTCGATATACTCAACATGCCCCCAGCAAGACGGAGCTGGCACACAGGTGGGCTGCCATGACAGCCATTATTCATTCACAGGATGGGCAAGACCCTCTGGCATGTGCGGACAAGAAATGCAACAGAGAAGCGGACATGCGGGTGCTGGACCGGAAACTGGGGTTCTCAGTGCAGTTTCTACTTGGTACTGAAGTGTGTGAGCTTTTCATCAGTTCTTTCTAGGTTTTGTTATTTGAAAGTTGGGAGCTGTGTTAACTGTGTTAACCTAATAACATTTCCAGCCTGGTGTCAATGACCTTTTTGACTCGAAGCTGGGCAGAATCTGTTCAGGATCCTAGCCTTGCCAAGGACTGCTGCAGGATTAAGCTGCGGGATGAGCCACTGCTGTGTCCCTCCACTTCAAAACACGAATGTGACACTGGGTAGAGCAGGGCTCTCTGGCCCAGAACTGAAACAACAATCGAGTGAGTTGGAGCATGATTTCTTCTGCTCCTTACCACACCTCCTTAGGGACAGATTCTCCTCATGTTACCAAGGGGAAGGCCGAATGGATATGGTCACACTGCCTAGGCTCAAATCCCACCTCTGCACCTCACTGCTGTGTGACATTAGGCAAGTGACGTAACTTCTTGGGGCTTTCAGATTCACCTTCTATGAATGGAAGTAGTAATAGTATTTATCCTCTAGGAATATTATGAGGGTTAAAAGGACTAATATGTAGGGACGCCTGGGTAGGCCAGTCGGTCAAGCATCTGCCTCCGGCGCAGGTCATGGTCCTGGGGTGGAGTCCTGTGCGTCGACCTCCTTGCTCAGTGGGGAGCCTGGTTCTCCCTCAGCCTGCCACTCCCCCTGCTTGTGCTCTCTCTGACAGATAAATAAAATCTTAAAATAAAAAAAAGAAGAACTACTATGTATGAAGGGCCTACAATAGTGTGTGCTATGAATTAGGTGCTATCCACTTGGTAGCTCTTATTAGTACTGGGATACCAGGCCAGAGGTGCACACTAAGCCCCACGGGTGGGTAAGAGAAGAACCAGAATTCCATCCCTGGCCTTTAGGACCCCAGGACTGCTGTTCAGAGCAGCCGTGGCCTCAGTGCCTTCTGAAGTTCAGACGAAGGATGCACACAACACAAAGGACCTCAACTGGACCTAAAATCCCTGCCCGGTGCGCCCAGCCCGCCGGACACGTGCGCGCACCCCGGTAACGGTGTGCTTACCTGGATGTAGTCCACCGAATCGCCAAGAGCCTTGAAAGCCGTGTACATGACCTCTCGCTTGCCTCCCCATTTCTGCATGATGCACGAAAAGGTGCTGCCTCGCACCACATCCCGCACACGGTCCATGCCCTCCTGCAGGCTGGCCTCCGTCTCCCCATCCCCCGCCTCATGGAAGTTGCTGCGCCACACGAAGAAACCAGCTTGCTCAGTGCCCCCTAGCACCTCGTGGAAGATGTCCAGCATGTAGGCATCCTCCTGGCGATTGCCATCCACCACCATAACCACCTTGAGGTCAGTGAAGGCGATGCGCTGGGCTGAGCGCAGGCACTTGCGCAGGTAGTCGGGGTCCTCCTGGTAGGCGGCGATGCAGAGTGCCACCGAGCGCCGCGACCGCGACGGCACCGGGAGTTTCAGCGGCCGGCCAGCCCGCCGCATCCGCCGGTGCTCCAGGAAAGCGAACAGGCTCTGGATGAGCAGATGCAGGCCCAGGATGGCCCCATACAGGCCGAAAGACAGGTAGTGCTTCTCCGTGTGAATGAACTGGTAGCCTGTCACATAAGCTGCTAGGATGCCGCCCAGCACCGCCAGGGCAAACAGGCTGGTGCCCACCACACGCAGGGCTGTCGTTAGCTGCACCGGCATCTGGAGGGGGAGAGAGGGAGGTGTGGAGTCAGGTGGAAGACAGCATTTCCGGTCAGTGGGAGCAGGGGCATGTTCTCTGGGCCAGGCCCCCAGGGTTCGAATGCCAGCTCTGCCACGAACTCTCTGTGTGCCTCTGCTCTGCCCCTTAGTTCATTCATCTGTGAAACGGGGACTGCAGCACTAACCTTGTAGCACCTTTGAGGGTGAAATGGATTACATATGTAAAGTGTTTCGAGTAGCATATATTCTTGTTAGACCAAAGCCAGAAAGAGCTATCTGATCCCCACCTGGTGGACAGCGATCCTGGGATCTGCCTGACCCACAGCTCTTCTAGGCGACCTTCAGGAAGGATGAGCCTGAGGCCCCAGGCTGCTCTGAGCACATGCAGGGCCAGGGAGGGGAAAGGGGGGGGGTGACCAGAGAGGCAGCCAGTAGCCAAGAGCTTCTTCTTCTTCTTCTTTTTTAAGATTTTCTTTACTTATTTGACAGAGAAGATCACAAGCAGGCAGAGAGGCAGAGAGAGAGGGAGAATCAGGCTCCCTGCTGAGCAGAGAGATGTGGGGCTCGATCCCAGGACCCTGAGATCATGACCTGAGGCTGAAGGCAGAGGCTTAACCGACTGAGCCACCCAGGCGCCCCTGGCCAAGAGCTTCTACCTGCTCTGTACCCACCAGGGTCCTGTACAGAGGGAGGGGAAGTAAAGCACGCCCACCCATGAGGCCCATAAACAAAGTGGAGGAGGAAAAGATGAGAAACAGCAGGAAACATAAAGAGGGGGAGGAACTTCTCTCTCTTGAAACAGCAAAATCACTAAGAGAAAGTTGCCCTGTGTTCTCTGCTATGTCACCTTTTTCTCATTTACTGTAGAGGCAGGAAAGAAAGGGAAAGCAACCGGGAAAAGCAGAGGAAAAAAAGAAGAAATGAGAGCTGGGGTGTGGGCAGCTCTCCTGGAAACCCAGCAGTCAGGGCGCCAGAGGGAACTGCAGCCACCACTGCAGCAGCCTGGGAGAGTGGCTACCTGGGAAGCCCCATCCACTTGGTCCTAGTGCCTGCATGGCAGCTCCATGCTGGTCCACCTGGCAATGCTGCCAGACTCCATCTGCACTCAAGCCTTAGTGCCGCATCTGCCCTGAGGAAAAGAGCTTAGCACTCAGCACCGAAGACTTGTGCTTGAGACACAGCTCTATCCCCTCCTGACTGCTTGACCTCGCCCAAGTGGTCTGAGACTTCGGGTCCCCACAAGAGGGGGTTCCAATGGTTTCTTGCTCCATAGGGCTCAGGTAAATAAATACTTTCCCTGTAATTAGAAGCACTTCCTGCTCTGAAGAACTACCCAAGTTGGAAGGCTGATTGGGGAAGGGAGGAGGGGCTGATGAGGACAGCTCCCCACTCCTCATTCTGACCCATGCCTTGCCCCCCCCCATCCCCTTTCTTTGCCACCTGCCTGATCTGGAGATTGCCATTTCCAATGCTACCCACCCACCCTCTACAGGCAACAGGGGTCTTGCTTCCAAGCCAGCTCCAACTCTAGGTCTTACTGGAACCAACCCTTGAGCCCTGCTCCAACACAAATGCACCTTCTTGCCAGGGGAACAGTGCCTGTGCCCCTACCACCTGCCACACAGCATAGGTGAGGAACGCGCAGCCACTGCCTAAGTCGGTCTGAGATTCAGGCAGCAGCTGCAGCATTCCAGCAGCTGCGGTCCGGAAAGTGCTGTTGGCAGCCTCGCGGCTTCGGGAAGCTCGGCCTCCAGGCGCTCTGCCCCGCCATTCCTGGGAGCCTGCTTCCTCTGCAGGACTCCCAGCCTTCCCTGGTAGCTCCCCACACTCGAATGCGCCTGCGGCTCAGGGGCACCGAGGCCCCGCACCCCCTCCAGGAGAGCCCCCTGCCCCGTAGCCCTCTAGACCTTATATGCCAAAGGGGCGCCCCAGGACACCACTGCCCACCTGCGCTCTGGGAGAGGGCCGGGGGCGCTGAGGCCAGCCCGGCAACCTGCCGGGTGCTGGCGCCCCGCCTCGGTGCAATGCCGGAGGCGGTGCCCACCAGGTTAATGCAGCCGGGAAGGCGCTCGCCAGGCTTCTCACCCCCGCCTGAGCCTCGCCTTCTGGCAAAGGCGGCGCCGGCCACACCCACGTGCCGGTTTCCCACGACTCAGCGGGGAAGGAACGGAAAACCCAAAAAATCAGTCGGACCAGGCCCTGCTCATCTCCTCTGGGCCCCAGCTACCTTGGCAAAGTGTGCCTGCAGACAAAGGCAGCATCTCCGGTGTCGTCGGCCCCTTCCTCTCCCGGGCAGGACCCCCAAACCCCGCACACGAATTGGAGGCACTACCCTGACACCCCGTACCCCACCGAGGACCAAAAATGTCCCGCAGCCAAAACCCCACGAGCAATTAGGTGCTGGTGCGGGCTCTGGCAGAGGCGCCCCTGCCCAGAGAGGGGGCCGTGCCACCTCAAGCGGGGAGAGGGGAACCTCGACCACCTCTCACCCACCCCCATTTCGTTCAGAAGAGATCCGCTAGACCTTGGTCCCCGTAGGTAATGCGCACCCGGCTTCAAGGACACTACGTTGGGGGGCGCTCCCTAAGACACCTCCCCGCAGGTGACTGAAGGAGAAAACCCTCAGCCAAGGACGCACGCCGCCAATCTACACCCGAAACTTTGCGGGGTTGCCACTGTGCAGCCTCTCCAGCTGACAGGTGTGCCCTGCTACGGGGCCCACACGAGGCGGGATGGAAACTTGCGCGCGGGGGCTGGGTCTTTTCCCCTTGCGCCTGGCCGGCCGGCCGCCCTCCCGGCCCCTCCGAGCCGGCTGGGGAAGGGGAAGCCGGGCCCGCAGATACATGCGGCCGTGGCCCGGCTGACCCGCAGGGCCCAGAGCACCCGTCATCTTGGTGCGGGACAGGTGCGAACCCCCGGGCGGGAGTGGGGGAGGGAGAGACTCCGACCAGACTCGTGCCCCGAGTCGTCCGCCCCCTAATCCATTCACAAAACAGAAGCCGCAAGGGAGGAAGGGAGGCGAGGCTGGAGGAGGAGAGGATGGAGGAAGAAAGGGAGGAGGGGTCAGTGGGGAGGGGGCTGCAGGAACCACCGCGGTAAAGCCTGGAGACACCGCAGCCCTCAGCCGGCCTCCCGGCGCCGGACGCAGCGCCCGCAGGGGCTGTTGGGGGGGGCGGGTAGCGGGTGGGGGTCCGCCGGGCTCGGCCAGCGGCACCCTTGGAGCCGGGCGCAGCCCCCGCGCGCCGCGGCCCGCCCCTCGGATGTGGCCGGCTGGCCGGGCCCGCGCTCACCGTGCCGCCGGCTGCCCGCGCTCCGGTGCTCAGCAGGCCCGCGGCGGCTCCATGCCCCTCCTCCCGCTCCTTTCCGCCGCCGCGCCTCGCCGCGCCTCTCTCGCCCGGGTGCACAGCCGCCGCCGCCGCGCGCTCCGACTGACGAGCGCCGGCCCCACGGAGCCGCCTTTAAGTACCGAGCGCGTCCCCGCCGGGAGAGGCGCCCTCCTCCGGCCCTAGGGCCGGGAAAGTTGGGAAGAGTGGGAGGGCCCCCCCCCCCGAGGGCCGCGAGGGGCACCCCCTTATTGGCTCAGTCGGAGGGAGCTATAAGCGGCGGGCGCTCGGCGGGACGCTGGGACCCGCGTGCACGCGGCTCCAGCGGGTCTCTGCGCCCCGGGAAGGTGGGTTCTCCCAAGGCGACCAGAGGACGAGCTCCTCCGCGCTTGCCCCGGGGCCAGCTGCCCAGGAGGAGGCGGTCATTATGCTCAACCTGGAACCTGGAGCCTTGTTAACTTTCAATATAACCCCTAGGGACTTCCAAAACTGTTAACTCTCCATCTCTCCATTCCGCCACCCTCGCGCCCGGCTTGAAATCTACTCACTCTGCAAAACCACCGAGGCGATGGAAATCTTCCCCCGACTGCAGCACGCGGAGGGGCTGTTCGCTGTATAGGGTACTCCCTAAAACCAAGACAGCAGAACCTTCCTGCCCGCAAAAAAAAAAAAAAAAAAAAAAAGCGCATAAGAGTAATTGTCAAATATAAAAAGACTGTTCCAAGAAGGTGTTAACAATTGTGACAAGCTTAGCTTTAGATTCCGCAGTGGGGCGCTGATGACTTTAAGGGTTTGCAAAAGCTCCAAATGGTTTTGCAGGAACCTTGTAAGTTCCTGTGTCTTAAAGCCAAAACCAACTTCTCCTCCCCTTTTCTTACACCTTTATTTCCGACATCCGTAACCTCCTAAATCCCCAACTGACCTTACAGCCAGTGGTTTCCAGGACCCCAAAAGCTGCTGCTGGACTTGGATGAGATGGGGTGGGGTCAGGGAGAGGTGGGGGAGTTGTCAGCAGAGCAAGTTTAGAAGCAGTTGAATTAGACCCCAATTTCTAAATCTCGGAAAAACTTGAAGAGATAAAGACTAGTAAAAAATGAATTTACATGTCCTCCAAACACACCTGAGATAATTTCTACCACTTCTTCCCAAGCTGCAACAAATTTATAGCAACATTAGTTGCAGTCTATAAGCTGCTGCTCTTAGAAATCTTAGGGGCTGGGACACCTGGGTGGCTCAGGCAGTTAAGCCTCTGCCTTCTACTCCAGTCCATGATCTGGGGCTCCCCACTCAGCGGGGAGTCTGCTTCTCCCTTTACCCCCCTCCCCTACTCATGTGCCTATGCTCTCTCTCTAATAAATAAATATAATCTTAAAAAAAAAAGGAAAGAAAGAAATCTTAGGGGCTCAGGGACTTGCCTGCCCACCCTTACTCATGCTCATTGCTGAGTTCCTCAGGCACACAAAAACCCCTGGCAAAGACACCTGCTTCACCCCCTCACATCTTGCAGTACAGAAATCAAATCATTTCACACTTTGGCTTGAGAAGATCATCACTAATATGCTATATGGTTTAAATATCCTTTTTTGTGTGTGTTTTTAAAAACTAGTATTGAGGGGCGCCTGGGTGGCTCAATGGGTTAAAGCTTCTGCCTTCCGCTCAGGTCATGATCCCAGGGTCCTGGGATAAGGCCCCACATCGGCTCTCTGCTCAGCAGGGAGCCTGCTTCCCTTCCTCTCTCTCTGCCTGCCTCTCTGCCTACCTGTGATCTCTGTCTGTCAAATAAATAAATAAAATCTTAAAAAAAAAAAAGATTAGAAAAAAAAACCCCTAGTATTGAATCCACAATGGGAATATGTTTTGAACCTGAGATGGGCCCTAAGAAGAGCTAATAACACACAGGTGGAGAGAGGCAGCTTTGGTTAAGAGGAAGGCTTTGGAGTCAGTTCTGCCACTAGCTGTGTGGCACTGACCTCAGTGTCTTCGTCCCAAAAATGGGACTGAGTATTTGACAGGGTTGTTACAAGAATTGAGGACACTGGCTGAGAGCAGGTGCTCAGTAAAAGTTAACTCCAGTTATCCTCAACCAGAGAACGGCATCTGTTTGCCAGTGTTCTGGATTCTACAAGCTCATTCCTCCAGGATGTGACCCTCAGTGACCAGAAATTCAGAGATCAGTGTCACTGAAAAATACCTTGCTTCCAATGCATGATGGACTGCCCTAGAGCCCCGATCCACCTCCTCCACATCCAGGGGCATCATCACAGAGCCAGACACTGGAGGAGCTATCTGATCCCACCTCCCACCCAAATCTGAAATCTGCAACATTTTAGATCAAGGAAAACAAGCAGGGTCTTGGGGTGGGGGGAAAAAATGAATGAATCAGTCTGATGGGAGTGAATATCCCATTTGAAGATGTCCCTGTAAGAAGGGTGCAGGTGCCCTGTAGTCAAGAGAAATCAGAAATCCAGATATATAGATATAGATATAATTTTATTTATTTGAGAGAGCACCAACCGGGGGTGCGGGGGGAGAGAGAAGCAGACTCCCCTGCTGAGCAGTAGGCCTCCGATGTGAGCCTAGATTCCAGAACCCTGAGATCACAACCTGAGCTGAAGGCAGACGCTCAACCGACTGAGATACCCAGGTGCCCAGAAATCCAGATTTTTTAAAAAAGGTTTATTTTAGGGGTGCCTGGGTGGTTCAGTTAAGCCACTGCATTCGGCTCAGGTTGTGATCTGGTATCGAGTCCCACATCGGGCTCCCAGCTCCATGGGGAGGCTGTTTCTTCCACTGACCTTCTCCTCTCTCATACTCTCTCTCACTCTCTCTCTCAAATAAACAAATAAAATCTTTTTTTTTTAAAGGTTTATTTTAGAGGGAGAGAGAGAGAGCATGCGAGCAGGGGGAGGGGCTAAGGGAGACAGAGACAGACTCCCTGCTGAGCAGGGAGCTGGAAAAGGAGGAACTCCATCCCAGGACCCCAGGATCATGACCTGAGCCAAAATTAAGTCAGACACTTAAACAACTGAGCCACCCAGGTGCCCCAGAAATCCAGATTTTTATGTGGAATCTCCTTATTTTTTAGTGTTGGCAACTAATTCAAATGTTGGGAAGAAAAAAAAAAAAAAAACAGCTCACAGGCCAGGCAAAATGTGTCTGTGAGTCATACACAGCCCACTGACTGCTTATAAGTGACCTGTTTAGAAGCTGAGAGAATGGAGCAGCCAGTTTGGAAAGATCCTGTCTGCCCTCAACACAACAGCATCATGACTTCTCTGGGAGCAAGCTTCCTGAGGTTGTTCCAGGAACATCTCATGCCTAATTATTTTCTAAGGCTTCAACTTTGTCCTACAGGCTTATTGTCTATCTCACTCAGTTGGCTCCAGGGAGTTTTATAGATGGTGGGCTAGTCAATTAAAAACTCCTAAATCAACAGCAGGTCCAGATGCAACATCATTGGCTTGGCCCCCTGACTGGCTTCCCCTAAGAAGCAAATTCTCTTTTTCTGATCTGCAGAGCCAGCGACCCTGTATTATCAGATGGCAAGAAGAATCTTTACCTTTGTGGCCAGCCTTGCCAGGGAGGATTTGCCTGTAATTAACATCCAGTTTGCAGTGCCCTATTTGCATTCTTCTCTTCCAAGGGAGGAGGGCAGGGGAATCTTTAAGGGGCTGATACAATAAAGCTCAACTTTATCTCTGCTTTCCACTGGGGATTGAAGAATAGGACTAATTCCATACCCACTCACTTAAAAACATGAATTCAGATGTTGCTGAACTGGCTTTTACATGGGTTCCAAGGGATAAAGCCTCCCTATTCGGCTCAGCAATAGAAAATGTGTGCTGCATTCCAACATTCATTTGACAAACACTCAACACCAGCCCAGAGAAGGGAATGATGCTTTGGCACCAGGAAGTCTCCGGCTGGTCCCTGCCATCTAGATAGTCATCCATTTTGAAGACAAATACCTTGAGAAGTGGCAGTTTATAATTAGATGTTGACGAGAGAATCCAACTAGAAGAATTTGAGGATTTCAGGAAAGAGATCTCTGTGAGCTGGAGTGGGCTGAGCAGAGTTCCCTGGAGAACTTGAGCTGACTATGTAGAAAGACAAGAACATTCTAGATGGCAAGAAGAGCTTTAAGAACAAGAGCAGGTAGGGAGGCTTGGGTGGCTCCATTGGTTGAGGGGCCAACTCAGTTTCGGCTCAGGTCATGATCTCCGGTAGGGGGAACTTCATGAACTTCATGACCCATAAACCCCAGGTCAGGCTCTGCACTCTGTGGGGAATCTGCTTGAGATTCTCTCTCAGCCTCTCTCTCTCTGCCCCTCCCCCTGCTCCCACTCTCTCTCTGAAATAAATTAATCTTAAAAAAAAAAAAATGTACACTGAAGAACTTGCAACAGTACCTGCTCCAAGGAGGGCCTGACGAGTTGTAGCTGCTGAGGAGGAGGATGCTAAGGACAGATTCTGGAGCCTTGAGTGACTGAATGAGGAGCTTGCATTTTATGTGGCAGTGGTGGAGAATTCTTGAAGTCCGTGCAAGGTGGGAGTAAGTTACATGTATTGTCTGGGGACAGCTGAGCTGCGGTTTTGGGGGCTCAGGAGCGGGAACAGGTATCAGAGGTGTGTTAACAAGCCAATAAGCCAGAGCAAAGGGGTGCAAGGGGCGGCGGGCACTGTTGGTGCTGCCCTTAGGAAGTGTCCCTGCAGGCAGGCAGTGTCACTCTCTTGGGCACAAGTGAGGGCGGAGATGAGGGGATCATCAAGAGAAAGAGACTTCTATCCTTTGGGGGTGTTCAAAGGGCCATTCTCCAAGCTTTGGTGGGTTTGAGGTAACTGAAGCTGACAGGTCCATCAACAAAGATTTCACCTTTCTGCCACTCTTCAAATCCGAACTTGTGAAAGGCTCAAACACCTTGCACCAAGAAGAGTCTGCCATCCAGTGTCCCTTGTCACGGCTGGGGCTTGAAGCTGCGGGACAAGCCTGCCAGGAGCCAGGGTGCTGCTCCGCTGCTCTCCTAGCGAGTGACGGGGCAGGGGGTGGGGGGCGGGCAGAGGGGCCTTCTAGCGCCACAGTGGCCCCCTCAGCCTCTGACCTCACGCTTCAGTGCTCCTGGATGGCGTGCAGCCCAGGGCTTCCAGCGAAGCAGAGGAGACTGGGCGATGGCAGCCAAGCCAGCGCTCCAGGCTCCATCCTATCAACTTCTCTGTGCGGACCATAATCAAAACCCCTTGAAGCTAATGAAGGTGAATTTAAACTGGCCTCCAAAGAATAGCAGGTTTTGTCCCCCCAGCTGACTAAACAGGGCTTCCTCTTCAAGGCAGCTTAATCTGCAACACTAGTTAATACGTAATTCCAAGTGGAAAGTATGTGCCTTGACGACAGCAAGGCAGCTACGACCCAACAAAGTTATCCTTTCATAACTTGCCCCTCTTACAGACAAGTACTCTGTAATCAGTACCCTTTGGGGCTCTGTTTGACGAAGCAGGTGTAAGAACTTTTCGGTACCGCAGTTACAATGGTGAGATTTTAACTCCAGGCTCTCTCTCTCCCTCCTTGGATGGAAGAATGGTTTTCATTTCAAATTAAGGGGCCTCTGCTCTGCTGGCGACAGAGCAGTCAGTGCCCACTAAGGGGCGAGGTTCTTTTATGCTGGCTGGAAGGTCAGGATTAGGAGGGCACACCAGAAAGATAACCCCGAATATCAAACCAGACCTGGAGATGGTTTTCTTGGAATCCTGAACAGCAAAAGCTCTTCCAGGCCATTTTTCCTCTCTCTCCCCCTCTCCTAGGTGAATGCAGGAAAACAAAAAAAACAAACAAACAAACAAACAAAAAAAAATCCAGACAGCAATTTTCAACCATAATCTCCTTCCTGTTGGGATATTGTGCAGCCACTAAGAATTATGCTCATGAAGAGAACATAGGAATCTGCTGAAATGCTTATGATGCAAGGTTAACTAAAAAAGGCAGGATACAAACTTGTTATGTATGAATGACTACATTTATGTTCATGTTTTCTTTTAAATCCTATAAATTAAAAGGCAAAAGAGAAGTTCACTCAGATTATCAGGATCAGGTCTTGTCTGGGGTAGTGGAACAATAGATTTTTCTCCCTTTGCCTTTCTCTCTGTAGTCTCCCTATTTTCTATTAATATAATAATTTTGTAATAAAAAGGTATTTTAAAATGATATAAATCCTGAAATTATAGAATTTCCTTCTAAGCTGGGGCTAGGTGCGGTAGAGTCTATATCATACACGGGTTCAAGTAAAAAGGGTTTGGAAACCTCAGCAAAGAAAGCAGTAAAGGGGCACCTGGCTGGCTCAACATAGCTGACTCTTGATCTCGGGGTTGTTAGTTTGAGCCCCACATTAGGTATAGGAATTACTTTAAAAAAAAAAAGGAAAAAAGAAAGAGCAGTCAAGTCAGGAGGGCCAAGATATAGACAGGATTAGTGGCAGTCAAAACATGAGTAATTTGCTTTATTTAAATCCTTCCCTTTGAGAGAATTTAGCAGAGAAGGAAGAAGTATGCATAGCTGTGCTAGCTCATCCAGCACCTTTACCGAATTATAAAAAGTTTTCCTCCTGGCAGCATAGCTAGGAGCCACGGCACATGGCTTGTGTGGCACACCCCAGCCGGCGTCAGCCCCCATTTATCCCCTCATCCAGGATCGTGGTGATCCTGGGTAAGGGTGGGAGGTGCACGGGGGAAGATGGGCTCTAGGTGGACCCTGAAGGGATGCTTTTCCTGAAAAAAAAAAAAAAAAAAAAAAAAAAAAAGGATATCCAAGAATGATGATGTCAACAGCTTTGCACTGAGGCTAGAGGAAGCCCCAGGAAGAGGTTCTGCTCTGGGTGTTATCAACTGGCTGCCCCCGCGACCCCCAGTGCGCACAAAACTCACTGTATCCAAAATGCACACATGCACACTTGCTCTTTACACAAGCACACACCCACTTTCTGGACTTCAGCAGAACACAATCCCAGTCTACCTTCTCGGCCACTGTATCAGCAGCAGGAGGGAAACAGATCCCTTAAGGTAACCTTGTTCCAAATTCACTGAGCTCTTGTTACAATAACATCAACAACAGTGTTTAAATGTGCTGGCATTTCTGCTTCAGTCCTCTTCCTTGATGAAACACATCATTAGTCATTGTCACAGAGGAGGTCAAAAGATGGATCCTCCATAAAACCAATTAGAGAAGAGCCAAGGGTGGGGGCAGTTTCCACCAACTCCTTCATGGGGAAGGCCCTTCCCCCAACAAAGTATGGCCTACTATCAGATTTTCTTTTAGCTAGGACACCCCCTTAACACACACACAGACACATACTCACACACTTTTCTCACGAGGTAAACTAATGCAGGGGTTTTGGCATCTGGCTGCTGCACATTAGACTTCTAAAACCTTGGAGCTTTTCACAAAACACGACTGCCTGGACCCTATCCCAGATCAATTTAGAATCACTGGGGGTGAACCCCAGGCTTGATTTTTTTTTTTTTTTTTTAATTCGTTAGGTGATTCCACTAGTTTCCAAGGTTGAGAACGAACACATCCTGAGGATGCTCGTCAGCTGAGATTTGCAAGCGCATCGCTGGCTCCCGGAGGACTGCGGAGAGCCAGCCAACCCCCGAGGCGAGCTCCAGAGCGTGGAAGTGTCTGTCCGTTTTCCTCCAGCACCGTTTTCCTCTGCCACACCTGTCCGAATTAACTGACCTTAAAAACTGAATAATGAACGAATGAGCTACCAAGCCCGAAGGAAGAAAGGAAAAGGAGAAAGGGAGAAACACGGAAGAGGACAGGACCAGATGGGCAGGATCAGTCCCCACAACTCGGCAATATACCTGGAATTGGATTGACGTCGTCTCTTTGTTGGCAAAGGTGCTGCCTTTTCGAGGAGAACTGGGGGGTGTGGGGAAGCCAGCCAGCCCTTGTCAATGGAAGGACACAGCTGCCAAAACCTGACTTGGATTACCTTCCAGTTTCTAAACAAAAGAACTTCTGCACTTTGGGGGCTTTTCCTACCCAAAGGATGGCTTAGGGTAATGGGTCTGAATTGCTCTCTTTTGGAGCATGGGGTCCCCAGGACCATCTCTCTCCCTTGGTCCTGGCCTTGGCCAGGGAGAAATCCCTATGTGGCTGACACTGCAGCCTCCAACTCTGATGCTCACAGTTTCCTTGGGGCAGTTTGCTGACCCCCACCCCGCCCCCACAGCTCTCTGAGGCATCGGCACCACCATTCTTTCAGCAAAAACAGCCTAATTTCAGGCTGGCCCTTCCCTTGGATTAATATGGTCACCATAGGATGTGAAGTTTTGAAAGTGCTGTGTGGTCTCATAAAGGTGTGTTGTATGTGGGTGGGGGAAGGCGGAGACGATGTTCAAGCTCTGGAGACTCTGCCAGTGCAGAGCAGGTGGCTTTGTTCTCCCCAGCGCCAGGCGACCTCCGCGCGTGATGACTGGGGCTCTGCATCAGAAAAGCCCCACCCAGGCACCGTTCAGAGCAGGCTTCAGTTCCAAGGCAGAGAGCGAAGATTAAATCTTACATCATTTAATAAGCCACTTAAAGGCCCCCGCCGCTTTCCACAGCTCCGTGGCAGAGAGGGCGCTCCTGCGGCTCAGGAGCTCCCTGCAAACTGCCCTCTGCTGACACCACAGCTCTCCCTCTGCTGCTCTTGGGGGGAGGCAGGTGCTGGCCGGCCGACAGGCTGAGCCTAAGAACTAGGGAACAGAAGAACAAGGTTCTCTGCCCTCGTGCACTCACATCTCCCCTTCCCCTGTCTTTTCCCGTTTGCAAAAACTTGCGTGTCTGGACCTTATTTCTCCCTTCTGCAACAGAGGGCTGTTCATTCTGGTCTCGTGTTTTGTTTTTTTTTTTTCTCTCGAGGGAGGGTGTGGAATAGAGCTATCAATGTATACAAGCAAGGAATACAGATGCAACAGATCACCGTTTAAAACGATCCATTGTGATCATTCTGAACAGGCAATCTGAGAACTGACGCCCTGCTTCCAGGAGATGAAAGGGTAAAAAAAGCCAAACCAAAACAATGGCAAACCTTCAAAGGGGATGTATCTGGGCTGTGACTGGATCTATAGGAAGACTTTCCATACTTCCGGTGCTGTACGCATCTTGGCCATCTTGGGTGTCTGCTACCTTTGCCACCCGCAGGAAGAAGAACAAGCCTTTAGACAAGCAAGTTATGACAGCTGTTCAAGTATAAGAGCAGGAGGACTGGGGAGTTTTAGCAGATCTCATCTCTAGCTGCTGGGTCAACAAAGAGGTCAAACACGAGACACAACAAATTCTGGTGTCTGAGCCTGGGTTTGGTGTGCGAGGACACTGCTCAGAGGAAATCACGGCTGATGTTTCGCTTGACATAGGTCGTCCATTTAAACAAGCAGGGAACCACTTTCCTGGTCCTCACTTACATTAAGAACACTTTTTTTTTTCTTTCATGATTTGGAAATAGATACTCTTTGGGGAATAGCAAAGCACAGTGGTTAAAAGCCCAGCTTCGGGAGCCAGACTGCCTGGGTCCAAATACTGGTTTAGCTACTTATCACTGGGTATGTAATCTAGGGTGAGTAATTAGTCTCTTGGGTGCCTCACTTTTCCCATCTGTAAAACAGGGATAATAATAATACCTACCTCACAGGCCAGGTGGGAGGCTTTAGTGGATTAATAGATCTCAAATGCACAGAAGAGCACAATAAA